GCCTCTATCACTTCCTCCGGATTGCCAACGACAGGGGCTCCCCTACACACGACATACTCATGGAATCCCTCGAGGCATACCAACTCGACAGTGGCCTCACCGACCACCCCCTAGCTTTCCGCATACCCCCTCCTGTTGCGGACACCACTATACTCGGCACAATGCTCCGGGACCTTGCCACCTTCCAGCCAGCCCTCACCATTACCACGCACTGGCAGCAACCCGCAGCCAGCCTACCACGGCGTCCCAATGACCGCCCCATCTGGGCTTACCTCACACCAACCCTAGGCACGACCCTCATATCCATCAACCGGCTACATACAACAAAGGTCCGCTGGGTGGGAGACATTACCAATGACAAGGGCACCATGCTACTTAGCCTTGAGTCTCTCCGCACCAAATTTGGGCGGTCCAGGCACACGCTCCAACGGTTTGCTCCCATCTGGGACGCCATCCCCACAGCTGTGCCACCTAACCCTCCACCGGCCCTTCGGCAACAAACACTACCGTGGGCCCCCCGCCCCGCTGGCCAACCACTACCTCTCCCCCTGCCACCACCGCTCCGTTCCTCCCTACCATACTTTGCCCACCCTCTTGGCGGCACCTTCTTTGTCCCCACCCCGGGCTACGAAACCCTACACATCCCTGTACACGCCATGCTAGTCATCCCACATCACCTCACCCATCAGGATGGACAACCCCCCACCCTCAGCTACCGCATCGGACAGCGCAATAGTATCCAAACCCGGCAATCACCCGCGGGCACAGAGATTGCTGTCACCTTCTGGCACGAACTCCGCAAAGACTCCGACATCTGGTACTCCCCAACACTGCGTGAAGCGCGCGGTCGCCACAGACTGGTATCCATTACCGACTGTGCAGTACTTATCGGCACTCTCCTACCCACCAGCCGAGCCCAACGCCATAAGTTTATTCCCTGGACCGACACGTTATGAACCGACACACGTACCCATATCACCCACAGCGGGAAAAATAACCGCTCCCTCATTGCCTCCACCGCGGGAGGCACCATCGACAGGACCCAGAGCCCTACAGGGCATCAGCCGGCCCAGCAGGCAACGCCGGCCTGTAACGCATGCCACCGCCTAGCAGACACTACTTTATGTCCAGACTGTGGCCAATGGCATCACTCGGCATACATCCCACACTGCCAAGTGGTCCCACAATACACTACCCCGACGTACGGCCAACACACCCTCCCACTACGGGCTGCGCGCACTTATGCTGTGGGTGATGGCAGCGTCACGCACCAGAGTACCCCAGCCACACATGGAACATGGAGCTACATGGGCCGCGATGGAACCACCCTCGCGGGGATCCTACAAGTTCACGCTAATCACATCACACCCACGCGTTGCGAACTACACAGCCTCCTGGTGGGCCTCCATCATTCTTGAGATGAGGCACTACAAATATGCGACAACACAAAAGCCATTGGACTGGTCGTCCTAGCCAAATCCCTCAAACGCCGCGGTGGGCTCCCCCGCTACAGCAACATATACAGGGTAGAACTTCGCTCGCTCATGGCTCTCTTCACCGATACTGGAACCTTTACCGGCGACTGGATCCGCTCTCACCAGGACCCCGCGGACACGCCCGACCCAATCCTCCGAACCAAGCGCACACTCCTCGCCGAGGCGGACTCCCTCGCCACCCTAGCACACCAGCTCCTCCCCCTTACGAACTATGCGCACCTCATTATCCCAGACTACTGGGAGCTTCGAGACGACCACGACAGGCCGACTACGGGCGCAACGGCCCCATGGCTGGGCGCAATCTACGGCCGAAGAGATTGGCCCAAGGTCCAAGCCAGGAAACCGGACACCCGCCAGACCATCCAGCCCCTACGCATCCCCACAGGGGACATCTGTAAATGGGACCTCCCTGCGCTCACTTTCTACTGGCGTGCCATCTGCTGCACCTTACACACCAACGCCCGCAAACACCGCATACACCCACGCTGGGAGCCACACTGTCTCAAATGCCCCGCTTCCATCAACACGCAGGAACACCGCTTCGGCCTCTCACACCCTATATGCCCAATGTCGGTCCCACTCTCCCAAAAAATTCTCCTCGCCACACAAGCCATCCTCCCAAAGGCCTGGCTCCCTGACCAAGATATCTACCTACCTGGACATAGCACAGCAACCGCGCACATCCTGCCAGGACTGAAACGTCCGCAATGGAAAAGCCGTGGGGGCAACCCCTCCCCCAACACGGGCACCTGCATGATTCCCCTTACCGCTCAACGCTGTGTCCATGCCCTCCACATGCAACGCCTACTGCCCCCCCCCAACCCGAATCTCTCATGCTCGCTGCCTCCCAACTATCCTGGGAATCTCACCAGTGCCCAAGCCGGGCCTCCTACTACCGCGCTGGCTATACCACACAGCGCTGCGATCCACCCCCCTCCTTGCACCACGGGACTTCTGGTTTGGTCAATGGATGGGAGGACCCAATGGCGCTACATTTCATGGCCCACTCGGACGCTCCCCCCACTGCATTATCCCCCGTCCCCCGACTAACCACCACTGGTGGATCGATGCCACTCACAACCCCTACCCCTCCACTTGGTGGCGCCTACTAACCATGGCAATCCATGAAGCTACCGCTCATCACACGCCGGCCACCTACTGGTTTGTCGTTCCCGATGGCTCACGCGGCCATACAACGGCTGAGCAGCACAAACAACATGGCTCCTCACCATACCCCCGCGCCAGCTCTCACTTCGCCACATCTCCTCCATCCACCACACCTCCACGCCCCACTGGGGAAAACTCGCTACTGGCAACCCCACTCCTCTCCACATCGGATTCTTCACCACGGGCAATACCCTAGAGCTCCTCACCTCTGCCCAGCTGTACTGGACGGCCATACTTCAACTCATTGATGCCACCCATTGGCTGCATAGGCCTCCCCCAACCACTCTCCTCAGCTCGGAGGAAACTCACACGGCAGATGCCCCACGACTTCTCACTGCCCCCACACACTACCTGCACTGGACCCAGACCTCCATTCCTGACTACGACCCATATGCCCTCGAATCCCGCGCATTCCTAACGGCTACGTACCCTACTATATACCACGCTACCCCAGGCTGGACAACCTTCCCAACCATGACTCACTCCACACAAGCCTGGGTAGTCTCAATTACGCATCTCCGCGCTCCGCTTTTCCATACCCAATGGTTCGTGGCGCACTGGGCAGTCCTCCGCCGACATTGGCAAACTACATGCGCTACTAACGTGGACCACATACGCACCACAGGGGAACTACCCCTGAGGTTAACAACACCATCCGGCTTAAACGCCCCTACCACGATGCCGCCCCCATGGGCCACGACCGACGTATCCGTGCCCGCAGAGCCCACCTCACAGCCAAGACGCTGCAATGGCACTCCCGTAGAACCTCCTTACTACAACCCGCCATCCCTCCTCCCATAGGCTACGCCGACCCGACCGTACGGCCACCGCGACTCCCCCCGGACCCCAGATTACCTCCTCCAGCGGTATAAGGATTCTGCTCCTTCAAGCAGACCCACTCAGGTTTTCAAGTAGTTAAGTCCGCTAGCTGCCAAAGCAGCTAGTACGCGGCCGAGGCCATTAAGTGCCCGCTGAGCGATTTTAACTTTACAGCGTAATAACAATAACAAAAATGAAGACTGGGACATGGGTCAAGGCGATGTATACATTCACAACGCACCGGCCCTCCCAAAGAACCCGATGTTCAAGGGTTCTACGAAGGAAGAACGGCGAGCGTTCATGGCGTCATACAACCAGTACATCAGCCAGACGAATGCCCTTACCGCGAACGGCGTTCGACCATTTCTGATGCCGTCGAGTGCGTGCATTGAGCCGGCGACTAAACAACGCGTGGCTGAGTGAGACATGGGGAAGTTCCCGGAAGAGGTAACTGATGCCGAATGGGCGGCATGGTTTACGCTAGGATTTCAAGTTAACCCTCGGACACTGGATTCCCTCAAGAAGCGAGTCAAGGCCTCGGTGGTTTTGACATGTCGATCCCGGACGCTGATTCTCGGATCGGGCGAATGTTGGACGGCATGGCGGCCGCTTTACGCCGAGACCGCCAGGAGTGGGTTATTCGAGAAGAAAGTGCTGCCATCGTAAAAATCATTACGGAGGCGGTCAAGCCGGTGTCACTCCATCGGACAGTGACGGAGCAGATGGCGCTGACGCGAAACAAGCCCCTGAGGAAGGACGTGTACCGTTTCGTGCGTTGGTTGCGTGAATTTGCCATAGGCCACGAGCGTTTATGAAGAAGAAGCGAAGCCGACCGGGAAGCCTGACCCGCCGAGGATGCCGCAAGGAAGCGGCCAAAGATTTAGGCCAGCTTCAGCGCAGGCGCAACCGAGAGTGGCCCCGGCACCATCTACGCCTCAGGCACCGACTAGTTCGACGCCTGGCAACGGCTGCTTGAAATGTAAATCCACCACTCACAAGGTCCGTGAGTGTCCTATAACACGGATGAGGAAGCCGTGCGACTGCTTAAAGCACATGGCCAAAAACGTGGTGACTGGAGCCGTAGTGATGGTCGGGCTGACACGCCGACCGAGGACGAGGAACACCTGGTGGTCGTGTAGCGACGATGCGAACGAATGCCGTTAAGGTGGGCCGCGAAGACCTGACGGCCACGGTGGATGGTGTCGTACCGGTCCGAGCCTCGCTACTAGACTCGGGCGCTGACCTGTCGGTTGCTTCAGCCGGTCTAGTCTCAGCGTTGTTGGCGACGACGGGTGCATCTCCCGAAATTATCGTGATGGGGCCCACGACCCTCCGGCCTTACGGCACGGATAGTCGACCGATCACTGTGACGAAGCAAGTTCGCCTTGGACGCCTGGAGTTCAACACGGGGTGTGGACCGCTAATGTTACGCGGCCTTCGCGTTTGGATCGACGAAGCCGAGGCTGCCGTGGAGCTGACGCTTGGGTTGCCGGTGATGCAGAAGCTGGGGTATAGTGAGCAGACACTACTCGAGAACGCCCGTCGGCAGCAGGCGGTATAGGACTTCGCCGATCAGCCGGACACGACGCCTGGCATAGCGATGCATCGGACACTCCGCATGAAGGAGCTGTCCGACGGTATTGACGACGGCGAAGTCATTTGCTGTGCGACGCCAAAATTGGGTATGATACTTAGTCTAGCTGACCTCGAGGCAGTTCGTACCGTCTTGATGGCCAAGGTGGCCGAGGCAGCAGCTGACGGCATGGAAGAACCTGCCGTTGAAGCCCTCCAAGACCTCCTGCTGGAGTTTCAAGATGTTTTCCGCCTGAGGTTTGGGCGAGATCCTCCAGTCCGAGTGGAGCCTTTGAAGGTGCACCTCAAACCGGGGTCCGTACCGGTGAAGTCAGGGCTCAGGCGTTACCCTCCGACCCACATGGCGTTTCTCGAGAAGCATGTGCGGGAGTTAGAAGAGGCGGGCTTAGTGTATCGGAACACTCGGTCACGTTGGGCGGCTGCCCCGAGGATTGTCCCGAAGAAAGATCCAGTCTGACGCAGTGGCCTATTGTCACGGTGTGGTCGACGAACTGTTCGGCGATCTGCTCATGCATGGTGTCCTCGGATGGCTTGACGACCTACTGGGATACGCCGGTACGACCACGGAGCTTTTGCAGTTGCTCCGACAAGTGCTGGGGATCTGCCACATTTCCGGTTTGAAGTTGCATCCGGGCAAATGCACGTTTTACACGACCCGGACGATCTGGTGTGGGAAAGAAATTTCCGCCGAGGGTGTAGCGCACTCGCCGAGCCGAGTGCAAGGCCTGTGCGGGCTTGAGCAACCGCAGACCGCTGCGGACCTCCAGCAGTTCCTGTGTGCGACGAATTGGATGCGTGCGAACATTCCTCAGTACACCGAGCAAGTTGCCCCGTTGACGAGGTTGATGGATATCGCGGCCAAAGCAGCCGACTCCCGCAAGAAAACCGCGTTGACAAGAGTGGCATTGAGTTCAGTCGGATGGGCCGAGGATCATTTGACATGTTTCGAGCGGGTCAAAGCGACGCTACAGCTCATGGTGCATCTGTCCCATCCGGGCCCTGATAAGATGGTGTGCCTCTACACCGATGCAAGCGAGGGGTTGGGGGGGCAGTCGCAACTCAGGTCCCCTCCGAGGATCTCGCGCTGCCTCCAAATGACCAGCGACACGAACCGTTGGCTTTCCTGAGTGGCGCTTTCCGAGGTTCGAGCGAGCGATGGCCGATTGTCGAGGAGACGTTTGCGGTGGTTGAGTCCTGCAAACGATTGGAATATCTCCTGATTCGGCCCGGCGGTTTTCGGCTCTTTACCGACCATCGTAACCTAGTGTACATGTTCAACCCGTTGGGGTCGAACTCCAACATGGCCAAGTATCCGGCCCACAAGCTTCAGCGGTGGGCGCTGACTGTGACATCATTTCCATATGTGGTGGAATGTGTCGCCGGGGAAGACAATTTGTGGGCCGACCTCCTCAGCAGATGGGGCAGTTTAGCGGGGCGCGACCGAGGCGCCCGAATGAAGAAACTTGCATTAGTTTCTCCGTTACGTGCCGAGGAGTTCGTATGGCCGACGGCGAATGCGATCACGGCATTACAACGTCAACACCCCGAGCGTGAGCGATGTTCGACCTGGAGCGCCGAGAAGAAATGTTCTTTGTCGGCCTCGGGGAAGATTTGGATCCCTGACGATGCGCTGGACATACAAGTGCGCATATGTGTGGTGGATCATTCGGGTGTGGCTGGTCACCGCCGCGTGGAAGCAGCAACAACTGCCTCAATAGCCGACTTGTTCGATTGGCCGACCCTGAAAGCCGACGTGAAGAATTTCGTCCGCGCATGTCTCCATTGCATGGTGGTCGACGGAGTGTCTGTGCCTCGGCCTTGGGGCGAAGCATTGCATGCGACCAAGCCCAACGAGCTAATCCATTTCGACTGGGTTTTGTTTCCGGAGGCCAAGGGTGCCTCAAAAATGTGCTAGTCAGTGATATGAGCGGGTTCGTACGCCTCCACGCGAGTGCATCGGCAACGGCTGTTGAAACCACCTCGGCGCTGATGGAGTGGTTTGGTCTGTTCGGCGTTGTGAAGACCTGGGTGTCGACTGTGGGTCCCATTTCAAGAACGAACTCATAAACACGATGAGTCGGATGTTCGGGGTCCATCACCATTTTGTCACGCCTCACTGCCCATGGGCGAATGGAACGGTCGAGGTGGTGAACCGAGTCATCGTGCGGACGCTCAAGGCATTGTGCAACGAGATGCGCCTGCGCCCCACGGAGTGGCCTATGGTGTTACCGCTAGTCCAATCGGCCTTGAACCAACAACCGTCCGACTGTCTAAGCGGAATTGCACCTACGGCAGCGTTTACCAGCCCCCCGGCGACTCCTCCATTGTCTGGCTTAGTCCATCCCGAGGAAGCCCGCGAAATTACCATCGACTGGGTGAAGACGGAGACTACACGCCATATAACCGAGCTTGCCGAGGCGTTGTGTACGATGCACAAAACGGTAGTAGCAACAGCTGGCGTGAAGCGCGCGAAGGCCAGAACTAAGCGTAATGGCAAGCGCTCGGTTAAGTTCGCCCGGTTTGCTTTGGGCGATTTTGTTCTCGTGGCTCGGGCGCTTCAGCATCCGGGCAAGTTATCCTTGCGTTGGAAAGGACCATGCCGTGTCGTGAAGGTGGTCTCGGACCATCTTTTGGAGGTGCAACAGCTGGTGCCACCAGGCGAAACGACTTTGCACCATACCAGCCGCCTCCGGCTTTACTGCGAAGGCGGTCGAGTCATCGATGAAGACCTGAAGGCGCAAATTGCATTCGGTGATGAAGGGTTCTACGTTGAAGCTCTTCAAGACCTGCGTATGAGTGATGGTGCCTAGCAAGTGAGGGTCAAGTGGCTCGGTCTCGATGATCTTGAGTCATCTTGGGAGCCGGCTATGTCCATCTACGAAGACGTACCAGTACTCTTTCGGCGCTGGGCTATGAGCCGCCTTAATGATTACGGTGTGGGCGAGATGCTTGACGAAATGGAGCGTGCGTTTGGCCACCCGTTGTATGGGGGAAGAGTTCTCGGTCGTGCCTCGGATCAACTACCCGTGCAAGTGTGTGTGCAGTTGACAGTGAGTTAAGTCGGGTTCTACTTTTAGACTCGCCGAGGGAGCAACTAATTAGTCCCTCGGTGGATCCTATTTAGGCCCAGGCTAGGACTTACCGAACCTCCCTCGGTACACTGTAAGTGTATTGACTGTGATGCCTGGATTACAGCGAAGTGATTCGCTGGTTGATGGGCACATAACCTGAATGATAATGAAGACACTTTTGGATTTGTCATCGAAGTCTACCGTCGTGAGCGCGGTAGCTGGTTGTGCAAGCCGGCGCAGACAACAACAGTATACCCATTGCCAAGATACAATTGTTCAAGACTCACAGTCAACAAAGGAAACCTATCAATCATTTCCAATCGGAGGTAGTATTTGGCAAAATATTGGATGTCACATACTACCTGTAATCGTTCCCATCATCCGGTTACTAACCGGATGACTAGTCGACACCTCTTCAGTCCAAGGTGTCTCTTCAGTCCAAGGTGTCTCTTCGCATACCAACAAGTCCTCTTGCGCAACCAAGGTGTTCCTCCGACGATACATCAATCGTTGGTTGCGCGTAGCTTAGTGATAGCGTAGTAGTCTTAACGCTATCAATTCATTCTTGATTCTACTATCTACTGCGACTTCCTCTGCGCACGCTCACACCTGGTAGCACTCCACATTCGTCCAGTCGACCAACATTATGTCCTCCACCAACACCGCAGCCCACCAGGCGGTCCTCGCCCTTTTGCGTCGCGGTTTTGGCGACAACGATACCGCGCTACTCCTTGGCGGGATGACTCCCGATAACCAAACTCGCCTTGTGGAAGGCATCGGTAGCACGATTGATCTCTCGGTTGCCGAAGTTATGGCCGCCCAGAAGGTATTGGACGA